TCATCTTCTTCTTCATCTTCTCCCAGTTAATAATTTTGGATTTCCCCTGTCGCTCCCGTGAGCGCTTCAACTGTTCCCACCATGCAGATGCCCTACCTTTGAGTTTGATGGCGACCAGTTTCACTTTGACACGATCTGGAACCTCCTTATATTCAAAAATCCGCTCCACTTCATTCAACCAATCAATAAATCCTTCAGCCTGCAACGTACCAGAAAACTCGGGCAGATCCACTCTGAAACCGAGATCTACATGACGATCCTCCCGTCCACGATGCTCCCAAACTCGAGCACGATGATGATACGGGTTTTCGAAACTGGTATCGGAATCGTGACCTTCCACATCATGATTACCGAACTCCTGTTCCGCCAAACGTTGGGTTAACTCCGCAACTTGTCTCTGCAAATCTTCAATCGTCACATCCTGAATATTACGATCATGGTGCGGGACTTCCTCAATCGGAACCTGTCCTCGACGACCACGACCACGTCCACCAACCATTATAACTGATGGAATTTATCTCCCAAGAAGATGCTGACGCTCTGATACCAACTGACGCCGGGTAGGATAGTGATTATCCTATTGACTTGTTGTAGCAGATGATTCGCAAGAAAAGAACGATAGAAAAAACTCTGAATTCAACTCAATATTATTAATAATGCAGAATGCTGAAAACGAACCCACAAGTCGGGTTAAATAGCTGCGAAATACGAAATTATTGGAAAATTACCAAAATTAGCAAAATCCCGAAATTATACCAAAATAAAATATTAAGTAAAAGAAGTAAATTGCCAAAAACTTGGCTTAATTCGAGTTCTCTAACATATAAAAAAAAGGAAACTAAATATTACCATAAATAGTAAAAAATAACTAAAAATTGAATTTTGGAAAGGAAAACAGTGGATTTTGGGCTTGAAATTGATGTCTACCGAACAAAGCTCGGTGGCCACGACGTGCGCGCCGAAGAGAGCTTTCCGAATTGGGGTCATAATAGCGATTCCGATAACCGTAGCCAAAGTTATGGCCAAATTACCAAAGACGCGTCAAAATCTCCCAATTAAGGAAATAATGGTGATTTACTTTCCATCTTTGCGCCGATCCGCCATCTCATGGTATTTCAGGGCCATCATCGTGCAATCTGACAAATCAGCATCACTTGATTCGAATCCTCCTACATCAATCTCTCTTTGAAACTTAATCTAATTCACTTATCTATTTACTTAGCCAACAATACCATTGAATCATCTCGTGACAATG